TGCACCAAGAGGGAAAACTTTTGTGCTATTAATCCACCCAAATAAAACCTTTGCCACACCATGTGTGTTGGGAGGAGGAGGATGTAGCAGGGCATGAGCTCAGGCACCTGTTTGTGAGCCAGTGGCAGCCAAACAAGAAGTGAGGCTCTCACTTCTTTGGGAAAGTGCCACATTTGCTCCCCCCAGCAGCTACACAGACACAAACCCCACACTCTGTCACAGCAACTTCCTCACAAGAGGGCTTCAGGCCAGTCCCACATCTCCCTGCCCTGTGTTCAGGACATCAGCACATCAAGAGCAGGAAAGGATCCAGGATTCCTCTTGGAAAGGTGTCAGCTCTGCACTTACCCGTGCCCCAACACCACTCGGTGTAACCAAGACTAAACCATACTGTGCTGTTTATTGATCAGTGCTGAGCTGATCACTGTTTTACCCTCTTTTCTACCCACAGCATCAAACATTTACAAATACATGTGACATAAGGCAGATTTCCCTTTTATTAGGAGACAGAAGTTACCTGCTGGTACACAGATACACCTGTGGGGTGACAGCAGTTCCCTGCACTGCAAAATTGGAGCACAATTGCTTTTCCCCTGCGGCTTGTGATTTACAGTAAATGCCGGAATTCACAGGGAAAATCCTGAAGACAAAAAAGCAAGGAGGCAGCATTCATCTGATAATAGAGTTTACCTGTGGGGGGCTGGCACTTCTAGCACAATCCAGGTGCAGAGGAGGCTCTGACAACCCTTTATGAGCCTAGTACTCCAGGCTCCCTTCCCACAAGCAGGAGCTGCACAGCCAGGCTGACAGATGTCACTGCTGTCAATGTGGCCCTGCATTTCCAGCAGACACAGCCTGATGCTGGTGGATGCTGTAATGAGGAGATGCTGTGATGCTCAGAGAGCTCTTCAGATTGAAGCACTGCTCTGCTGTGTGGTGCATTTTACCATACACAAAAACATTCACCAGCTACCTGCACACTGCCTGAGCCCCAGTCATGAAGATTAAACACCACAGTGACTCTGGTTCTGCAGAGCTGGGCAGCATTTGCCTCCCCCTGCACTGTGAGCAGCCCTTTGATGCCTCAAATGCAGGCAGGAGCTGCACTCTGCAGTCACGTTCACCTCCACGTGGTCAAAGGTGACCAAGGACCACACAAAACTTACCACCCACTGCGTCAGCACAAAGAGTGATGCTGGCTCTCCCCCAGCCCTGGGAGTTCTTCTCCAGGCTGTGGGTACACATGGGTGGAGGATGGCAGGAGGATACTCAGCTTACCTCAGCTCCCCAGCTGCTGCAGCTCACTGCTCCTGGCCTTCTTCACTGCATTCAGTTCTCCAGCTGGCACTCAAATGTGCTGTATCTCATGGTGAGCAGCCTCTTGCTGCAAGGTGTGAGAGTAAGTGAAATGCAAACACCTCTCATTTCCTTTTCCAGTGAGAAAATTTATTTTCCCTTCCCACAGCTAACAACTGCTTACTTAAATTCACTAAAGTCTTCTGAAAACTTTGAAAAACACACATTAAAAGAATTTTTCTGAGCTGAGAGCTCCCATATCTCAACCCTCTAAAATATGAGTGCACCTGGGCACCTGTGTGGGATGTAGGGATGCAGCTTTGGCACAATGGGTTGCAGCAGAGGAGGACCTGTCCTGGCACACACCTCCTCCAAACAGCACTGTAACACAGACTCCACAGGATACAGAAACCAAGGGCTGCTTTTTTTCCCTAACTGGTAACACACCATGAATGCTGTGGATGGTTCTAACACTGCTGAAAGTGAATGTGCTGGTGTTTGCTGACAAGGCAAAACACTTGTCAGGCTGCAGCAGACCCTGCAGCACTGCAGCCTGGTCCTTTCTCCAGCTTTATCAGATTCCTTCTCAAAAATTCATCTGAAATGCTGGATGGGACACTCAGCATCACCAAGCACAGGAAGAGTTGCTGCCAACACCAGCACTGCTATGCCAATGTCTCTGTGCTATAGTTTTTACTTCTTTTACTTTTTCACTTCAGAGCTTTTTACTTCTGATTTTTGAGTCGGGAATTTCAAAGCAAACTAAAAAACTTCCTGGGATTTGAGTCCCAAACTACTTTATGTACTACTGAAAAGCAGTATACATCTAACAGATTTGCATCAACTTTGTGCAAGGCTCACGGCCAGTGCTGCTGGAAGGGCTGCAGAGACATCAGCAACAGGACAGACAGCAGCCTGGGGACAGACTTGTCCCCAGATACAGCAGGACTCAGGGGAGGCATCTGCATGAGGACAGCTCAGAATTACAGAAGTTGGAGAAAACCCCTGAGATCACAGAGCACTGCCAAGTCACCACTAAACCACATCCCCAAGCAGCACACACACATTGAACACTTCCAGGGACAGAGGTTCCACCACCTCTATTCCAATGTTTGGCTACCCTTTCAGTGAAGAAACTTTGCCTAATATCTGGCTCCCCACGACTCTTTGCTGTCTCTTCTCACCATGCCCCAAACCACCATGGATATCCAACACCCACACAGCAGAAGCCCAAAGGCACAAACTGCCCCTGGAGCCTCTCACTGCTCCATTGCTTTATCCTTAACATGCTGGTTCACGTTACCCCAGAACCCCTGTTCATGCCTGCTCCTGTGTGTGTGTGCAGAGTTACAGACACCTCTGAAATCACACCCTGCACTGTGCAGATGGAGTTTCATCACTCTAGTCACGGAGCACCTGAGCTGGAGCTTTTCCACATCAAGGTCCCCAGCTCTGCCCAAGGCTGGATTGCACCCTTGCCCTGCCCAGGTAAAGCCAGGAACAGGCAGCACCACCAAAGGCCCTTTGGACCATGCTATTGCTTTGGAGGCCACTCCACATTTGGAAAAGTTAATTAATAATATTAAAGTGTCCATCCCACCTGTGCTGTAGAGAAAGCATCCATCAAGGCAGCAGTGGTGTCCAAGAAGGCTGGAGGCTGACAGGGGCTGGAGCCCCAACTGGGAGAGGATAGTCAGCCTACCTGGGGCTGCTGCTGTAAACAACACACCTGTACAGGGAATATTAACATAGGCTGCCTGTTTGCCAGCAAAGATTTTCACATTTCCCTCTCAATCTTTATTTAAATTTGGGAAGACAGAAAATTAACAAAGTCTGAGATCTATAACTGGAAACCATTTGTTTTTCTTGTGGAAATGGAACATTTCCTAATGAACTTCCCCTCCCCCTGTGCCACTCAGATCCGGATGCAAATATTGCTGCGAGTTTATCAATCTGCAGCTTGTTTCACGCAGTTTGCAATGCTAATGAGTAAACCAATTTTGACATATTATGTAAGCCAGTTTCTGAAACAGAGATTCTTGGCAGGCCAAATGTAAACACAGACACCCTCTTGCATCCAATTTAAATGAGCATGTTGCTGAAAGCACTAAGGGCTTGATTCTGTTGACTTATTCCTGATTTACTCCAGTGGAAAAAAAAAAGGTGGGGGGGAGAAGAGAAAGAAAACTAACAAAAATACCCCTTCGATTCAATTCCTAGTGCAGCAGCAATTTGCAAAACGGATCTAATTTTGTAGCAAGGAAATGTGCTGGAATAAGCTAATACAGGGTGGTGACTCGGGGACTGTGTGAGCATCAGCACAGCACACGCCTGGGAGCACACATGCCATTCCAGATGGAACTGAGGGGGGAGATGACAGCTCTCCTCTCCCTCATCCCCCCAAGCCAAAATCAGGTCCAGGTAGTGGCCCACGGGTTGGACCAGCCCCAGAAGGTGACTCCTTCCAGCCTCTTGCTCTTCCACCAGAGCTTTGCAGAAGGATGATACCTATGGGGGGAGTAGACACAGTTCAAGAGCAGAATCAGCTGTTTTGAGCTGCCCCTGTCCCTCACACAAAGGCCAGTAGGAACGCAGAACACGCAGGAATATTTGTTTCAGCACACACTAAAAGTCTGAACTTCACCAGCACACATTCAGGTGTCAAGACCCCAAGCACTACTCACTACCTTGCCCCAACAGGCCCCAACACAGAAAGTCAGACACTGATTAATGGATTATATCCACCTTTTAAAGAATAGCACCAGAAAAACATGCTGGAGGGCACCCACTTTGGATGCAGACTGCAACAACCAGCAGAACAACTCCCATTGAGACAGGGTTGAGCTGAAAGTCACAGGCTCAGAGGTAGGGGTAGGAAAAAAAAAAAGAGAGGGGATGCATTTTTAAAAGCCCCTAAAAAAAAGCCTCTACTGGAGAGATGAACAGGATTTTATTAAAGTGAGGAAGGGCTGAAATCAAATCTTTCATTTGCACTTTTCCCAGCACCATCTGGAGCACTTGCACCTGCCAAAAGCATGGCATATTATTTCTTTGACTATTAGAACCAAATGGGCAGAGGCAAACCTGGAGGTGGCCTTTGCCCTGCTATCATCTCTGGGCACCTCCACAGTGCCTTGAAACTGAAACACATGTGTGAAGTTGAACTGTGATACTCCTGCCATGACAGAGTAAAAGCAATAAAATCAGAGGCATGCTGTGCTGTGAGGTCAGGTGTGCTGCCACAGAAAGCATTTATTGAGAGCCAGAGATCCCACCAGGCACCAGAGATGCAAAACACCACCTCATATTAAATTTCCTGCACAACATCACAATCAGGATAGCATTTATCATACCTGGATCTTTTACAGGACAAGGTAAAGGAGAGCAAAAAGAAGAATACTTTTAATCTCCAAGCAAATATCCCATCCTGAGCTTTCAATGGGGAAAGCAAACCTGAGAGTTCTTCCCTTTGTGCTGTGCTGCACTTTCAAGCTATGATCATAAGCAGCCAAATGCCACACATTTGTTGGCTCATTAAGTTTCACCCTGCAAGTTTAACAACTGTGTATTTCTAAAGTAATTCACGTTTTTATGCCATAAGAGAAAACTTACTGCTGTCTAGACACAGAGGGGAAAAAAAAAAAAAAGGACACTGCTTGAAAGGAGGGCAGCAGACAAGGAAGCATCACTTGGGATGTGAACAACAGGGACATGAGATGCCTGTACAGCCCCAGCACTGCAGGGCACAAATCCCAGCACTGCAGGGCTGTGGGAGAGCAGCAAAGACTGGGAAGAGAAGATGCCCTGCAGATCTGAGGGACCTCACAGATTTTTGTCCAAGTCCAGCTCTTTGCCAGCCAACAAACACCCCCACTACTCACTCTGCCATCCCAGCATGGAGCCCAAGGTGGGAGCGAAGCCCAGAATCACATCACAGCACGGGCTCCCATCCCAGCAGGGAGATGAAGGCAGCAAGCAACCAGTGCAGACTGATGTGCCATAGCACCTCCCTCCATCCCTCCTGCTTATCTACACCTGGCACATTACAGTAACAGACAGGCAAATGGGGATTTAATTCCTAACATCTCATTTTTTACTGTAATTTTAAATGATTTGGAATAACTCCTGTGGTTAGAAGTCCAACTGTTATTCAGAGTTAGTCAATTTGGAAAGCCCTCACTGTCCACTCAAGCATCCCCTGGATTCCTCGTGCTCAGAAAAGTATTACTGCCATTCCCTCATTCCTAGTGCTTTCTGCATTTTTTTAACATTTTCTCATTTCTGCATGTCTTAAATACCAGATACTAAAACCATATAAAGAACAATCAGCAGACCAAATGGATACCGATTGGATGATGAAAACAGCATGAAATAAAAGAGAATCAGATTATTTTCTGTTGTAATTTTTATAGCTATTTAACAGGAAGAATGGAAAAATCTAATTACTGTCAACTGTAAGTTTTCAGCTACCCAGCCAGCAGCTCGCTGTTATTAAACTACTGTATAATTGCCTCTTTTACTCTGCTTCCCACAGAAGTTGTGTTATTTCACTCATAGTTAACCTCATAATATTGGCTTCATAACTAATCCTGTCAATCGAAATCCCCAGGGGCTGGTGCAAGGATAAAAATAGCAAGGAGTTGTTTTTTCCCTCAGCTTTCTTTCAAAGCCCATTTCTGCAGGCGCTGGGGCTGCAGCTGCCAAGGTGCCCCACTGGCCTGTGAATGCTGCTCCTACAACTCAAAGGAACACAGAGGGGAGGACAGGTCCTTCCAGCAGGAGATTCAGTCCCTTGGGCTGTGTCCATCCCAGGAAAGGCCAATCCTGCCCATCTCTCCCTCCTGACCCAGGCAGCTCAGTTGAAGTATTTGATGTTGCATAGTTGAACCCCACCTCCAAGGCCAGCTGTGACCACCTACCCTGGGATTTCCTCCCAGCCCTGAGGTTGAGGTGACACTCACAAAGCCTAAGGATACATGAAAAACAGGGGTTTGCTCCTTCCTCAAACACTGGGACAGAGTCTTACATAAAAAACCCCACCAAGACACCCAGCTACCTCTTCAAGCATCAAAGATACACACTAAAATGTCTGTTGGGCTCCAGGATCTAAAAGGTCTTTTCCAGACTAAATGATTCTGTGCTTCTCTGAGTACTATTTGCCTATGCATTTATAGGAAACTGCAAAAAGCAGCAGATTTTCAGCCATCCAAATAGTTAAGCTCTGTCTGAAGCCTTACTTGTTTCCTGTACCTCCTGGATTGATGTCCCTTGCTAATTCATGGCATGGTTCTTTCCTGGAGATGGCACTGGGTTTGCTGTAGAGGACACAGCCAGGTTCTCCTGCTCTCTCCTCCAGCATGTCCCCTGTGGGATACTCCTCTTGCCCAGGACATAGAGGGCTTAAACTCACTGTTCAGCTCAGGTTTGGGATGAGGTGGAGGGGCTGGAAAGAGTGAGGGAAGACAGGTTTGACCTCACACTCATTTCTACAATCTGTCTCTCTGGAGACAACAACCCTGTGCTGGGGTTGCTCTCTTGTGGGCACGCACAGAAACTGCTGAGAGCTGGCAAGGAAAAGATGGGAAACAACACATTTCCCAAAGTGGTGTCCCAGAGGAAGGTGCCCATGCCAGGAGGGACACAGTGCCAGGGCTCTGTGTGCATCTGGACCAGCTCCAAAGTCATCTCTCTTGCCTGGAGGAGCCCCTGCCTGTGCTGGGACTGACACACACAGACAAGAGCACACAGCACACTCACTGCACCACCAGATCCACGTGGGAATCATGGGAGACTGGTTCATCTGAGGTGTTTTTCCTCCTGGGAGAACCACCACCCCACCTATTACAGCCAGAGACAGGGGTACAGCATCCCAACCTTCACTCAGCCTGCTCCTGGAGCCATTCTTGGGATGGACAACAGCAGTATCCATCAACACAGGAGCGAGAGAAACAGTGCACCAGTTTAAAAATGTGTAAAAAAATAAAGGCTCACCCTTTCTCCCACCCACAGCAAGGATGGACCAGACCATGCACAACGCTCTGCAGCCAGACAGGAAACTACTGCTTCCCATGCAAGCCTGAGACACCTGACCAGAAGTCCAGAGGGGCCCCAGGGTTAAAAATCCCTTGTATGCACTGTGAGAGCCCTCTGGGAAGACAGCTCTTCCCTGAGCTGTATTACTCTGTTCTCCCCTCATCACTAAACTTGCTTCACTTTAAGACAAGAAGATGGAGAAATCATTTTTGCCGTTGCTTGGGCTGCCAAAAAGCATCATGGTGCTCTCAGGCAAACCAGGAGAGCTCCCACCACGTCCAGCCTGGAGAGCCCTGGTGCTCCCAAGGGCTGGGGGACTGCCTTGGCTGACAGAGCTCTCTGACAGAGAGTAGAGATTTAAAATAAACATGGCCCAACACGGTGTTAGATTTCTCACCCATGGTGTTTGTGCAAATGAACCCTCAGGCTGACAGACCTCCGACTCAGAAAGCTGCAAAGACACAGAGAAACTGTGTTATGGCCAAAGTCACCCTAGTGGTGGCACTGCCAACAAGGTGCCACCTCCCTGCCAGCAAGCAGAGCCCACAGCCTCAGCTGTGCCAGGCATGGTGAGGACAGAGGAGGGAAGCACCAACACAGCAGGGCTGAAGCAAACCCACCAGCCTGACTGAGAACTATTCCTGTGTCCAAGTACAGGAGGAGAGTCAAGGACAAACAAGGAAAACTGAGGCTGCCAGGCACAGGAACAGCAAAATCTCCTATTGTTCCTACAAGTGTTAGTAATGGCACAGCACACATAGGAGCTCATAGTGACAAACCAGATCTGGTGGCAGAAGCCAGCCTGCCTCAGTGGAGGTGACAATGTATGTCCCCTCTTTGGATGCTCAGCCAGGTCCTCAAGGAGAACACGGCAAAGCAATCACTCTTATAAACACCTTAATATGAAGATCAACATTCTTGGGGTCTGATTCTTCAAGGATTCAAAACCTGCCAGAGCTCCCAATCTTCCTCCATCTCCTTTTGACTATACTGCTTGTGGTGTGTCCATTTAAAATTGCCAACTTTTCATCCTCAAAGAGGAACGAGAGTCCCAGGCTGTCCTATGCTCCTCATGAAGTGACACTGTGTTTTTATGAATTCCCATCAGCAGTAGATCCTTCAGGATGAATCTGGAAGAGGAGAGCACAGGCTGTGTAAACAGTGGATAAATCAAGGCCAGCCCAGCTTTCCCATTTGCGCAGTGATCCAAACATGCAAGAAAACGTCTGCAAGGGTCTCTGTATTCCCCAAATTAAAGTACTATGGATAAATGGATGAAAGTTTATTTCAATTGACTCATTGGTCAGGGAAAAAAGAAAAGGAAGTACATTACTGCTTCCATAAGTACTAATTATCAGTGGATTTTAGATACAAGAGCAAAGCATTCCTCTTGCTACCTATTTTTCATTAAACATAGTTCAATCAAAGAAGCCATCAACTTTCCTAGATGGAAGTAATTAAGGAGAGCACAGGCTGTTGTGTTTGCAGTAGAGACAGGAGCCTTCCCCTCGGCAAATCATATGCTCCCAGATGCATCCAACCCACCAAAAGCTTTCAGCCAGCTGTTGGCCCAAGGCTTGTTCCCAGATGTGGGGCACCCATGTGATTGCTCCAGCAATCAACCCACCCACTGCTCCAGCTCCATAGGATGTGCAAATCCCTCTCCCCTACATAACTGCACCCATTATGGGAACAAAACACAGCCACTTCTGAGAAGGGCACACCACAGACCTGCCCTTGTGCCAGCATACAGGGGAGAGGAGACCTCTGTGTGTGCCCATCTCATGCTGCAGGACACTTGCACTCAGCCCTGTAATGGATGGACTTCTAGTCACACCTAAAGAAGGAGGTGGTCCCTCATATCACAACCAGGGACCACTGAAGAAACTCCACATGGAGAACAAAGCTGAAGGAAAGCAAGGTGGGCCATGTGGTGAAAGGTTAAACCTCTCCAACTGATGTCCCCCAAAAGTGCAAGTGTGGGAGGTTGTGCTGGAGACATCTTCAGTTCCATCTGAGACACGTTGACCACTGTGTGTCATCAGGGTATCTTGTATTGTCCCGATGCTCAGAAAAATCAGTCATGCCCCTAACAGAAAGCAACACAGCCAATGCAAACACCAGGCAATGTCTTACCTGAATCACCACCAGCAAGGCTCTTCCAAACTTCAGCTTCAGGAAGGTCAGGGGCTGAGGTACTGTATTTCCCCTGTGAACGAAGGTGAATGGTGCATTTTTTAAGTTCCACGCTAGGCAGCCACACAAGTGCTTTAGGCTGACCTTCCCTGTGGCTTGCAGAAGACTGTCCTTGTCCAACCAGCAGAGGCTTTCTGTACAAAGCAGCTCACTGTCCTTGGGCTTTTGCACATTTTGTGTGTGTAAGATTCAAGTATTGGTAATTATTTCTTGAAATGAGAACCCCCCCAGAAGCACCACTTGGTTTACATGGAGGACAATATTCTCCCACAACAGTCATTTCCATTAAAGTATTCCACAAAAGTCTGGGTGTTCAGTACATGCTTGTTGGCAATTTATGCAAATCTAGTCTACAAATAATCTTGACAAATAATGCTAAGAGTGAATTTGAGCTGAGGCTGTCTGAGATCACAGGTGTTAGTTAGGTTATCAGACACAGTGGGTGGCATGTTAATGTGTTCACGTCCTAACTAGTGGGTATAAGTGAGAGGCTTGATCTACAACTGAAAGAAAAAACTGAAAGAAAAATTGAATATAGAGCACAACAGATATTGCTGAACAGATTCGCATGTGGGCACTTGATTTATCACAATGCCTACATAAATATGTATGGAGCAACTGTTTCAGAGAGGCCCCATGCATGGACAAGCCTGTAAAATAAGTTTTCTGATCTAAATATTAAAATTGGCCCTTGGCAAGTAATATAAGTAATAGTCTCTTACAAAATCACTGTTTCAATTAATTTTACTGGCATCACCTTTATCTGTGCAAGAAGGAGAGAAAAGCAACAAACAGGCCTGAAAGCCAGCAAAATAAATTCAGAGTTATTTTCAAGAGGTCTGCTTGTCTCACAGTTAAGAAAATGCACCATGAGATGGAAAAACAGGTTGAAGTCCCATCTCTGCCAGGGTCTAATTTTTCTCTGTAGAAAAGTAGGATGTATTTCTTGCAGCAAATACAAAGCATTTTCTCTTACTTCAACGAACAATCATTTTTTCTGAACAGTTATATCAAACAACTTACATTTTTTTGCACCCTCCAGTAGCTTTGTTTTACTGCAATTGTCATTGTTAAAAAAACCCCCAACAAAATAAAAAAAAAGTACCTTCCCTCTTCCTTAAACCTATTAGAAATGTCATTCACATTACTCTGGAAATGAATTGAACTATTCCCAACAGCCACTCAAAAAATACATAATCACCATAATTACTGGTGGCATCTAATTAACATTCAGCTTCCTCTCTACAGCAGCTACAGCTGGACAATCCATTTATTTCAACCTAAAACTAATGCTCTCCTAATTATTTTCCATCTCACTAAGCAGCCCACCTGTGCCCGTTTGCAGCGACGGCTCCGTCTGGCACAGCCTGGTGAGCTCAGCCTGGGGCAGCCCTGCTGACAACTGCCCCATGCAAACACGGGGACCTGCTCCTGCTAATTACACAGCTCCTGGCTCTGTCAGCCTGCTTCACCAGGATTCACAAAAAAAGAAAAAAAAAGGGGAAAAAAAGAAAGGCAAAGGAGCTGCAAAAGGCTGCAGCCACCCCAAGGGACTTGATGCTCTGGGTTTGATAGCATGGGGTGGAGGATAAACGAGCCCATAAAATGCACATGCCTCTGGTTTGATGCTTCTTCCAGAAGGGCATGGGGTCAGGGTGGGCACATCAGTGGTCCAAAAGCCTGGCACGTCCTGGTGCTGGTCTCCAGGCTGGGGAAAACCCTCTGCTGCCAGCTTTGTTCTCCTTCCTTGGCCTCTCTGTTGTAGCAACAGGAACAAAACTGCTCAACCCAAATACTATTTTAAAAATATAGACAGCTAGGGATTACACAGATATAGCAGGCTGCTTTTATGAACTGCCTGGTATCAGTCACTCAGAATAAAATGAAGTACATGCAAATGTCATGATACCTTAGTTGTTTCAGTCTACTTCTAGCCATTTCCACCCCCATATCACTCATCAGACAACTTTTTAATTCACTTTTATTTTTCAGACATCCATCACCTCTTGTTGGGAAAAATAATGCCTGCTGTTGCCATCTAGATGAGCTCCAGCTCATTATCTCTGTTTCCTTCCAAAACTCACCTAAAAACTTATTTTCTTTTTTGCTCAGCCTCTCTCTCTTTGCTATTATGTTGCTACTTGTATTATTTCAGCCTGTAATGATTGTAGCACTCCTAGGAGTGATGATCTGCAAAATTATCTTGTAATTGCATTCATATTTGAACTTTCATCATTACAACTAAATACATAAAGGGGGATGAGAAGGAAACTGACAGTTACTGGGGGAAGCTCTTGGCTGAACTTCTCCTGAACTCAGGAATTACTAATGCCTCTTTCTTTCCCTTCGCCCCCACTTTAATTTGTCAGCTCTAGGATGAATCTCTGAAGGCACCAAGAGGCCTCTGATCAGCATGGCCAGCTGGGTTCACAAAACCCACAGTGGCACAGTGTTTACCCCCAGTCAAAGTGGGCAAGACGAGTTAATGACATTCAAAATGTGTGGGGAGAAGGAAGGAGCTCAGACAGCAAAATCTTGTAGACGTCACTTGCTTCAGAGACCAAGGAGAAAAATACAGCAGGTCAAGAGAGGTCTTAAGAGTTGGCCTGAGCGTCAAGGGGAAAAAATAAATCAGTGCATGCATATTGGAAGATTATTTATGCAATAGTCAAGTAGTTATGGTTTTGATACCAAGGAAAGAACTCCAAACACCAGTTAAGGTCAGAAATTCAGTATCTTCATGCTGTGCACACAAATTTCTCCCCTCTTTGTCATCTGCTGAGCAGTAAAGTGCCTCCAAATTGAATTGTTCAGACTTCCCCAAACAAATTTTCAATTCCATAAAAGATAAACTAGTCTTGGCAGCTGATCTGTAAAACTTTTGGGATATATAGGCTATAGAGAGAGGACCAAATTTTATGAAAATGCCCTAGTTCTTATCAATGCAAACCAAGCTAAGATGGATCAGAGAATTGAAGTCCCAGCATTTGCTACTCAAGAGCTGCCCATGTGCTCTCCTGGCTGTCCAGGAGCACTCAAGTTTGAAGGACTAACTGCAAACCAGTGTATTTTTCCTTGACATTTTTCCAGGAAAGAATCTAACAGAATTAACACAAAGATCTCCAGCCAGCAGAACATTGCTAAGATTCCCTAGGTGAACCTCTTACATCTCATTTACCCTTCTGGTGCAGCCCAGGTGTGCAGACACCTGGTTTTTGAGCTGCTGGGCTCTCCACACCAGCCAGGCTCACAGCTCCTGCTGCACATTGTGTCTCCTGGAAAGGGCACTCAAAGCACCAGTAAGGAAAGAGCTCTTGCAAACCCCAGAAGTTCTCAACTGGCCCAGCAGAGCAGGACGGATGGGTGGATTCTCTGGTGTCTAGTTGCACATACACCATCTCTGCAAGTACTCTCAGCAGGGGCAGTGGGACTTGGGAGGTTACATTTATTTTTTTCCATTTTTTAAATTTACTTCTACAAAACCTCCAGGAATGCAGGTTCTTTTAAACCCCACTACCCTACCCCATCAAGCTGAGGCTGTCCATCAGGTTCACAATGTATTTGTACCCCTTGTCATGTTGCAGGGTGCCAGCCACAACCAAATGATTTCATCTGATGCTTGAAGACAGGACTTACAGATGATAAAACAAACATCTCCTTCAAACTAACAGCCCTCTCCAAAAGCCAAGCAGGTAGCAATTTATCACTTCCAACCTCAGCTAGCACTCACTTGCACTCCTAATTGCTTTTAGCCTCTTCTTGAGGCAATTAACTCCATACCCACCCCTGACACCTTCTCACTCCAAAAAGCAGTTCCCAGTTCACTGCCACAGGGCTCTGCATGTGGATCTCAAGCTTCTGTCTTTATTCCCTTTCCTCTGCAGGGTTCTGCATGTGTTTGTGTCTGGGCATGTGTTTTCTCACCCTGATGAATTCATTATTTATGGGGCTGAAAGAGCAAAGCTGCTGAAATCATTTAGCTCTTCTGCATGTCTCCCAAAGGCATAACAAACATAATGGGAAAGCAAATATCAGGCTAAGCAGGGTGGTTCGAGGGAGAACTCAGAAATGAACGTGGGGGTGCTGTGCAGCAGGTATGCCAATACATGCCAGGCTTTCCTGCCTGGCATGGGGCTAAATCCCTCCTGTCCTGCCTCCAGCTGCCCCTGGGGATGCCCAGAGCAGCCTGGACCAGCACAGGTCAGAGTGCTCCAAGGGATGCTCTGTGTTCCCTGGCTCACTGACGTGTTCAGCTTTACCAGAGCTGGCAAATGGCACTAGAGGGCAGAGCAGTTTACCCTCAGCATATCTGAGACAAAGGAAAAAAACCACAACTTTCAGGCAGCTTCTGAATTCTCCACAGTCCCATCCAACACCAAAAGCCTGTTAATACACAAAAGCCACCAAATATATTTCCAGTCAGAGTGACAAGCACAGGCAATAATGAGCCAACTCAGAGCCTGCAGTTCCCTGCTCTGTACTAAGACTGCAGACCTGGAGGTGTGTGCCAGCCTCTTGCCTGGGCCTGCCCTGGCTCTCTGCATTCCAGGGTGCACAGGGCAATGCAAATAACACAGGTGCCTCGACAGCAGTGGGGGGTGACAAAGCCTCTTCTCCTCCCATCACTGATGCAGATGAAAAGGCTTTACTCATCAGGAAGCTTTGATCACAGAGACCAGAAATTATGGACCACGCTGACATTCTACTGCCCAGGCTTGCTGCTATGCATCTCAGCAGATGGAAAGTGCTTCCAAGCAGTTGAAACTTTCAAGGTTATAGCTTTTGTTCTGAGCAGATGACCAGAGGCTGAGAGAACCCCTGTGGGTGGGCAAACAGAGCTGCTTGAATGCACATCTACCCCCTGAACCGCAAGATTTACATTCCAGAGAGCACCTCCAACAGCCACCACTACATCTCCTGGATCCCAGCTCACTGCATTTGGCTCAGGAGGGATGAGAGGGACTGTAATTCCCCAAATTGACACTCTTGTGCTCTTACATGCAAAGGTTTTTGGATGGTATACATTTGCTAAATTCAACAGACTTTCCCAGTGTCCCTGGTACTCAGAGCTCCCTTGGATGAGGATTTTGGCCCTAAGAACCCCACTCCAAATCACTCATAAATCCTTTTCTTATTATTTCCCCAGTGCACAAAGTGTGCTTTTCTTTATTATTATCAAGATCAGTCATCCTGCAGGTCTATATACTGTTGAGTAAGGAAGCAAAGGAGCCTTGCTCTTCCTCTGTAAGTCACTGTTCCTTCCAGAGTCTAAGGAGCTTGTTCATGAAGTACCACCCTGCATCACGTCCCAGCTCTGCTGCCAATGAGGGTACTTCATAACAAAATCTCTGGAGGGGGCAAGGAAAATACCTGCAAAATGTAACTCCGAGTACAGTGCATTAATGGCTTGGGCAACAGCTTAGAATAATGTTGGCTATCTTAATAGCGTGAAAAAAGGTCTATTAATATTTAAAGAGAAGGAAGGAAATAATACTGGTTTCAGGTCTCAGTCACATTTTGTCCCTTGCCACAACCACTCTATTCTACATCTCTTCCTCCAGGGCACACCCTACATCTTCTTTGCAGAGGAAAGGCAGTGCATGGTCTTATTTTTGTGCAGAATTTGATTTCAAAGCCATCATTGCAAAGAGGGTTGAAAGGACCCTCAGAGCAGAGGCCAGGCAGCTCTTATCTTTTCTGGCAGATGTTTATCTAACTTCTGACTCCCAGTGATTGCAACTCCACAACTTCCTGGGGCAAAACTACCCTAGTGCTTCTCCATCTGCTTCTTAAAATTGTATATCCCTTAATAGCATGTCTTCTCCCACCCAGCACAGACAAGTGAACTGCCCATTCCCTTCCTCTCCTCTCTGCAGCAGCCCAGAGCTCAAAAATGATCTCACCTCCTTCCTCCCCCCCGCAGTAAATAGCCTGAACCCCACAAGTTTTCTCCCCACAGCCTCTACTCTCAGTTCATTTTTAGTATCCTTTTCTTGACTCTGTTTTCCACCTATCTCTTTCCTTTAGGATGAAGCCCAAAATGTGATGGTTTCCCAGACTAACCAGCACAGAGCAAGGCAGGAAAGGTTGCCTCACCTGCCCATCAGTCAGCTCTCCCAGTTTTCTGCAGCCCCAGTTACAATCTGGCCACTTTGCAGAAAACTTCCTTCCAGTCTGTGAAGTACCCTGTCCTCACCAATCCCCTTCCTGCAGAGTCCCATTCCAGGGGACTTGTGGAGCTGTTCCTGCACCTTCCCAAAGGATGCTTTGGGATCCCCTTTCTCACTGACTTACCTTGTGCATGTTTTCAGTCCTGCCCCACAGATCTGCACAGGAATTGTAGAGAAAGCAACAGCAAGGACCAGGCAGGTCTGGCTTACCTGAGCACATCACCTGCTCAGCTCACACCTGCACCAGCCACTTGGTCAAAACTGCTGCTCCTTCCCTCTCCCTCCCTTAAAAGCAATGGCTGTATGTGATTTTGCAGCTGTAATTAATGATGGCCTCTTAAATTTTCACTGTGACCTCAGCTAACCTGTCCTGACCCCAGACGTGGTGGGTTTGATGGTTATGTCCATGCTCACAAATCCAAGTGCACCCCAGGTGTGGCTGGTTCTTCCTCAGCCCATCAATCACTGCTGCTTGCTCCGTCTCTGGACACTGGCAGCCTCACCAAGAGGCTGTGCAGAGCAACTCTGGGGTTGTGTAAAACCTCAGCAACATTTAGATTTGCAGATAAAATATCTTCACTCTGCCTACTTAACAATTCAGCATGCAGTTATTGTCTTTAAATACAGAGAACTAAGATGGATACTGTTCTTATTCTTCAAACAGTTACTAACAAATTAGAGTAGTACACTAATATCAGAGGTATTTTTTTCTCTAGCTTCATGATCATCCTCTGACTGTGACTGTGGCTGTCATATACACTGGTGTTGGAGCACTGTGCTGGGCTCATTGAATTTACACTTCATCCCCAAGGTCTGCTGCAAAGTCTCATAACCAGACTGAAAAAAAACAATACTTTATTCTTTCATAGATGCTGACTCTGAAGTACAGATCACTCAGAAAAAAAAAAAAAAAGCTTATGGAAATTGAGAGTGATAAACAGTACATATATATGAGTAATAATTAAGAAACAGTATAAAGCACATAAAAGGACTAGTTCCCTACCAAGGAAAACACAAAATACTAACAGCCCTGCATAAAATGAAATTAAGCCAAAGAAGGTTTAAGCAATGACGAAATCAACATCCTTTTAATGTCAATGACCAAATCTGAACCTGGTTTCAGCCACCCTCCAGGTTTTTAGCATATTTTAGTAATTCTTTAGCCCAATCATACCTGCCAAACCTGCCTAGATGCATTTACAACAACTCAGATGTGGTTGTGCAACAAAATATCTGATTTGCACATGCAAATTCTCATGAAAACCATGAACAGAAAATTGAAATAGATAATTTTTCAATGTGTGCTCAGAAGCTGACAATTTAATCACTTTAAGTGTAAAACAGCCTTTTTGTTACTGCGAAACACAAGGTCTGTCATGAGGTTATAAATGAAATTGCTATCTGAGGAATATGAACCATCAAAGCCAAAGAACACCAAGGCCTGGATGGATTTAAAATATCAGCAAGGCTGGCACAAATCAATAGTGGTAAACAAGAGTCTTCAAACAATTTAAAGGACAAATCTCTGTGTGCATTTGGCCATACATACTACCATATTAAACATGACATTTATAGAATCACAGAATGAATCTCTGACTGGTTTGCAGAGGATCTGGGGGCCTTTGGGCAGAGGATGGATTGTTCTCCCTGGGTGACTCCCTTGATCATCCCTCTGCCTTGTACCTGAATTTACTTCTTCTCATGTGGCTTCCAAGTATTTTTAAAGAATTATCTCATCAGCTGACATTTTAGCCGACAGTCACCTTGTATCTGCAAATCCAGACAGTTAACAAACCAATTTTCTTCTATAATGAAATTTTAAGTAATATTTTTAAGTTCAGGAATACAAGCTTTAATAAACAGCACATTCTATATGAAAGAAAAAGAAGTTGCTTTATTTGTAATCAAATGAATTGATTCCTTTAAAAAAATATTTGCATAGTTTTGTTTAATTTTGTAGAAACCTAAAATTGAAACTGAGATCAAAGAGACTGATTTCACCAGAGACAATAGGTTTTACAGAATTCTGCAAAGTTCTACCATTGCCTGAAGAGGTTTTAATTCAGGAAAGAGATTTACGTTTCCAGCCTGCCAGTTCTAGTTAAGACTAATAATTACACTTGTAAACGGACTGCTGCCTTTTACCTGAACTGTGATTTTAATACCCAGTTTGGAGATCACATCTTGTTCATACTGGACAATTCTGGGCTAGGGTTAGAGATGCTTTATGAGCCAGGTCACTTCCATTATACTGTGGTTTGACACTGGCCAAACACCCATGAAAGCTGTTTGCTCACCATTTCTTGCTCTCAGCTGGGCAGAGGAGAGGGAAGAAAAAATTAACAAAGTGCTCATGAGTTGAGATGAGGAGTGGGAAAAACACTCTAAGGGCAAAACAGGTTTAAACTTAAAGACATAAAGTACATTTATTATTAACAGAGTCAGAGGAGGATAATGAGAAGAAGTAAAATAAGTTCTTAAAACACCATTTGTCCCCCCAGCCCCTTCCCTCCTTCCTACCCAGTTATCTTTCTAACTGGGCCAGCAGCACGTCCATCTTCAGAGCCATCAGAGATGGGCTCTGTTGGACATGGTGGAAGCTTCCAGCAGCTTCTCACAGAAGCCACCTTTGTGGTCCTCTCCTGCTACCAAAAACCAGGCTGTGCCAAATCAACACACAATAGGTGACACCATGGCCCACGTTCTGGGGTAACTCAAAATGCAAATAACCAACAGTGCCCAGAGAAGGAAAGAGTGAGAAATAAGGAAGGAAAAAAAAAAAAAAAGCATGTTTATATGTTCAATTCAGCCAATCACATAGTATTAGTATACTGTGCTATTAAAATTTGTTTCCATTGTTTCTAACTAGAGTTTTATGGCTTCTCCATACAGGGACTATCAGTGACAAAAGTCAGTAATATTCTGCAGTACATGATTTCAAACATACAGAGGGTTAAACAAGGCTCTGTAGACAGTGATACTGAGGGGTGCCAAAATGATTGCTTTCACTCAGCTTTCAGGGAATCAACACTGATTTATGACCAAAACCAATTGCATTGAAATCAAATGGAAGTCAGACTCTGCCCACAATTTTACATGCATTAAGTGCTGGGAGGTGATGGGGAAAATGGACCATTAGCACATGCTTTCTGAAATAACCACAGCACTGCAAAATTAGATGATTCTGACCCTGTGGTGAGCAACAGTCTCCTCCAGAGGCTTTTTTGCTCATCAGTTGCCTCTTCTGCAGATCCACCTTGTTCTCCCCAGGTTTCTCATTAACTCTGGTCCCAGTTTGGGGCTTGTGGAGATAGAGCCAGCCTGAGCTTCCCACAGGAAGGCCAGGTCAGCTGGGGCACATGTTTAGGAGCAGGTGGAATTAAAAAAAAAAAAAGAGCAAAGGCTGACACTTCCACAGAGCTTACAGCACAAAATAACACAACAGTTATTTAGCAATCTTGTCATTTCAGGCAAAGTTACAGCTGAGTCCCGATGGTGCTTTGATTTTAAAGCTCAATCCTTGTAAACACATTGGCTGAATTAAGGGTACGGATAAAGGCAGTGGGAGGCTTTTTCCCTGCAAAAAGCAGAAAACAGTTTGCCTTGAAAAAATAATTACAAAAACATGCCTCTATTTAAACAATTATTTCCAAAATTTTGGAAGGGATTTCATCTCCCCTGGAACTCAACATTACATTTGGATTAACAAGCACCAGAAGTAAAACCAATTAAAATTTTACAGTCAGTGAGGACAGAACCAACAGGGTATAACAGCCTTCCAGATTTTCATTGATATGATGATGAAACACAAATATTTATGAGCTGAACACTGCCTCCAATATCATTCAGAAAGAGTTCTTTTAGTGCTCCAACTAACCTTTCAGGATTACAAGAGAGGAGACTTGCAACAGATAAACTCTTCACCCCATCTCACTCTGAAAGTACTTTACCACACGTGTATCTCTTCTTTATCACTGTTAGGCGAAGGAGAATGAAAATGTGAGACAGGATAATGCTGCTCATAAAAAAAAAAAAAAAAGAAAAATCTGGAGATAGTTGGAAGTGATGGACCAAACCAATGGCGTGCTGAATTCTGCCTTTTTATTTTATATATTCTTTGTATTCTTTACACATATATTTGTGGCCTATCATTGTATTAATGGCTAGTTTTCCCAGTAGTTTCTCATGCTCTTTCCCCAGGCAAATAGACAAAACACATTCCAAGGGATCCTATCGTATCTTGGTTCTCTCTTCCCTATCTCTTTCTTAGTTCTGGCTACCAAGGCTGAGAACAGTTCTTCAAGACACTTTTTAATGAAAAAAGTACAGCCATTACCAAGGAGGAGGTTCCAGAAAAAGGTTGAACCAGAAGGGGGAATTACCTCATCACCTGTGCTTCTAATTGGGAATTCTTGTCATTTATGCTAACTGGCTAAATTTATAGAAATTGTATTTACCCTGTGTGGGTGGGCTTTTGTGGACATTTTCCACATCTGCCCCTGGAGGCCTCCAACCTTTATATTACCTCCTATACTAATATTATCTTGAAAGTGTGTGTTGTTTAATTTATAGGTTCCTAAGGCATCAAACTACTGCACAGAAATATGCAAAAGAAAGCCTTATTTACATCATAGCATTGAGGCTGGTGCATTATTAAAAGAAAAAGCCTTGAGCTCCTGATAGAAAAACAAAAGATCCTCTCATTCACAGCCAAAGCACAAGAAGGAACTGTTGCCAGCATCTCACAAAGTCTGTGACCCAGCCAAGAACTGAGCCCAGATATCTCAGTGGCAGTCCAGCATTGTGAACACATCCTCCCTATCAATGTAAGGCTGGAAGAAATGCCCTGACAGTGCAAATCCATGCAAGAAAATGAAATCTACCTCTTCAGGGAAACACTCCTCTGTGTCTGTGAAATGTATCACTCCAGATCAAGAGGAATTAGTCTCATCTCATAAACGCCACACACATGCCTCATGCTGCTCTGCACTACCTCAGCAATGTGCTGGAACCTGGAGAGAAATGTGACAATCATGGCACAGCACAAAGCACTCACCCAAGGGCACCTTCCATGGGGCAAAGGGGGTCTGCCCAAGGTTCCACCTCAGTGATGGAATGATCTCAATCTCTTCCCTCTCAGAGATGACCTGTGCCAGGTGACACTTAAGGAAAGGGGAGGAGAGAGTGAGAAGCCGACTGTTCAATACACAAATGCAGGAAAAGTTCTGAAATAGATACAAGTGCTGCGTTCTTGTCTGAGATGATGC